AGCAGGGAGCCCGATGCAGGACTCGATCCCAGGACCCTGAGATCATGACCTGAGCTGAAGGCAGATGCTTAACCATCTGAGCCACCCAGGCGCCCCTCAGGTTAGGATTCTTAGCAGGGTACATGTTGGGCCCTCCGTAAGTATTAGCTGATTAATTCATTTTGATTGAGGAGAATACTGAGAATACCTGGCAGGCAGTCCTTGGCATAGGGACCAGAGAATGTGACCAGTGCCCTGGGCTGTGTGCCCGTGGAAGGAGTTTAACCTGCAGGTCAGCTCCGTGCGTGCCCTGGGAACACCACAGCGAGCACTTACCGTATCACCTGGGCCCCTGACATGCAGGCTGTAGTAATGAAGCCCCAGGAGAGCACCCGAGCCTCCCGGGTTTTCCAGCCTGGACTGTCAAGAGTTCTTTTCCCCTAAAGTGTCTCTGAGCTCAGGGAACTCATGGACCCCTTCAGAGGGTTCTAGAGGGGACAGCTGCTCTATTTCTCACCCTCTGGTTGGGTCTCACAGAAACCTGACCAGAGATGATTGCTCTCCTTTGCTTGTCTTCAGACCTGAGCTCAGATCTGATCCCTCCCCAGCGCCCCCGCACTGCCCCTCACCCCCCATTGTTCAGATCAGAGCGACAAAGCCAGCAGATGACCACAGTGGGGCCCCAGAGGTTCTAACTTGGACAGTTGTCCTGACCACTCAGGGAACACTCCGGCATTTAGATTTTCATTTGTGATCTCTATCTTCCAAATTGTTTATGGATTGGTTTATACATTTCTCCTTTCGTCAGGAGAAGCATTTCTTAGAGTGAATGAACGGACAGTAGAAATGAGGTTTGGCCTCTGATTGGCTGGCTTTTCGTGTCCAAAGTTAGAGCCGCATCTACAATCCAAGTGCCGCTTTCCTAGTAGCTCTGAGATGGCGTCTACCGAACTGTGCCCAGCCCACCGTGCATCCCTGCAGGCAGAGCCAAAGCTGGCTGCTTTGCAATCAGAATATTCTAGATGATAGGACGCATACAGGGAAGAATATTGTCATGAAATGAAGCTAAATTAGTATATCGTGCCCGGTGATGCTATCTTGGGCTATGTAGAAATTTACACTTCCACCATCTACGATAAAATACCTGGGGAGGGGGCATCTGGGTGGCTTAGTCGGTTAAGTGTCTGCCTTCGGCTCAGGTCATGATCCCGGGGTCCTGGGATCGAACCCCACGTCAGGCTCCCTGCTCAGCAGGGGAGTCTACTTCTCCTTCTCCCTCTGCCCCTGCTCGTGTGCTCTCTCTCTCTCTCTCTCTCACTCACTCACTCTCTCCCTCAAATAAATGAAAAAAACAATAGTGAGAATCTGTCAAGAGTAGGATCATTGGCAGTGAGCTAAAGCTACTTAAGAAAACAGCTCTTTGGTGGAAGTTAGTTCACTTAGCATCCAGGGAGCTGATTTCCAAATGTTCCTTATCAAAGAGTAAAGCAGGCCAGAGAGAGTCGTGGTTCCTTCAGCTGCACGCTGTCCTGCTTCCCCTCTCCTTAGCTGGGATGGTTACTCTCGTTGCAGATGGAATAAGGGCCCCGCTTCTTTTCACCATCTCTGTCCCTTCAGCAGTTTTGCCACAGAATGTTCCAAAGAAGAGGCCCCGCTGCAAATGTGGAGGGTCTTTTTCGTTGCTAGTACTTAGTAAGACAAACATTGGTTTGTTGTCCAAGCAGCAATCGATTAGGGACCATATGTTTCCGAGGAGCTTGACGACTGGGAAGCGAGGCCAAATTGAGAAACCAGTTGGAAACCCTCAGCCCAGATGTTTTCACTCAGCTTGTTGTTCCCCACAGTGCGTCTGAGGCGCTCTGGTTTGAGCCCTGACCAGCCATCAGTCACAGCAGACGCATCTCAGCAGGGCCCCGGAGTCAGGGACTAGCCCCACGTCCTCCCTGACCTCGAAGAACCTCAGATTCTCCTTGGTTTTCTCATCTCTACAATGGGAGTGTTTGTATCTGCGTTTTCTTTGCATCGTGGAAACAGCGGGATTCCATGTTTTTCTGATGAGTTGGAAGGAGGAAGGGAAAGGGGCTTGAACATGTACTAGGCACATACATTATCTCATCGAATCTCCATGGTGACCTGTTTCTTGGGGATCCTTGTTTTCACCTTAGAAATGGGAAACAGGCTTGGGTAAGTAGCTGGCCAAGTTACTTGGTGCCCAGGCCCAAGGCAGAGAGTCTGAGCCCCGGTTATCTGGCTCCATTATCCTGTCAAGTCCTGCCTAGAGCCATGAGCAAAAGGAGACGTTTGATTTTGTTTCCTTTCATTTTGCAGGGGCACTTACAAAGATATAGTTTGAAAGCCCTTTAGCACTTTGTTTTTTTTTTTTTTAAGATTTTATTTTTTTGAGAAAGAGAGCAAGCACGAGCCTGGGGGAGGGGCAGAGGGAGGGAGAGAAGCAGGCTCTCCACCGAGCAGGGAGGCCGATGCGGGGCTCGATCCCAGGACCCTGGGATCATGACCTGAGCCGAAGGCAGATGCTTAACTGAGCTGCCCAGGCGCCCCGCCCTTTAGCACTTTAAAAACATTGATTTTTAATGGTGGTGAAATACACATAACATAAACTGTGCCATCTTCACCATTTTTCAATGTGCTATTAGTAGTGTTAGTACATTCATATTGTTATACAACCAATTGTCATGCTCCCCCTCCCAGCCCCTGACAACCTCCGTTCGACTTTCTGTCTTTATGAACTTGACTACTCCAAGTACCTCATCTAAGCAGAATTATACAGTTTTTGTCATTTTGTGACTGGCTTATTTCACTGAGCACAATGTCCTGAAGGTTCACACATGTTGCAGCCTGTGTTAGAATTTCCTTCCTTTTTAAGACTGAGTAATAGTCTCGGGGTATGTGTATACCACAGTTTGTCAATGGACACTTGGGTTGCTTCCAACTTTTGGCTATTGTGAAGAATGCTGTAATGCACGTGGGTGTGCAAATATCTCTTTGACACCCTGCTTTCAGTTCTTCCGGGTGTATACCCAGAAGTGGGGATTGCTGGATTGTGTGGTAACCCCATTTTTATTTTTTAAACATTTATTTATTGAAGTATAGTTGGTACACGTTACATTAGTTTCAGGTGTACAACATCGTGATTCGAAAAGCCCGTACGTTATGCTGTGCTCACCACGAGCGTGGCTACCATCTGTCACCACACAACGCTATTACAGTACCATCAACTATATTCCCTGTGCTGTACCTTTTATGCCCGTGACCTCTTCACTCCATTACTGGAAGCCTGTGTCTCCCACTTTTCATTTCTTGAGGAACCGCCATACTGTTTTCCATAGTGGCTGCACCATTTTACATTCCTGCTGACCATTAGTGTACAAGGGCTCCAGTTCTCTCAACTTTATCAACACTTGGTATTTTCTGCCCTTTCGACAGTAGCCATTCTAATGGGTGTGAGGTGGCATCTCGTTGTGACAAACCCTCTAGCACTTTGCATGTTGAATTTTCCACTGAGTGCAAATCAGGTGGAGACACAGGAGGCAAGCAGAATTGCACAGGGTCTCCCAGCCCTGCCCTCACCTGACTTCTGGAACATGAGGGGGCGACTCTGTGGGTTAGTGTAGCAGGGCCATCTCTGAATCAGCGGCTGGGAAACATCAGGAAGAGAGAAGAGCACTGAATGGACCAGGCTCTGGGCTCCGGGGGTGGCCTTGCAGGATGAGCCGCCCTCTGAGCCAGAGCTGTGTGTCTGGGAAGTGGGAATGACTATCCCTGAGGCGTGGGGAGGTCAGGGGAGGTGATACATATGAAAAATGCCTTAAAAACTCCAAACCCTGGGTTGCAAAATAGCTTACATTTACCCTGAGGGGTCAGAGTTCAGCCTCCGCTGCAGATGGAAGGTGAGTCTGGCCTGCAGCATGGTCAGTCTAACTAAAATTGCCATCGTCATCACTGTTACCTTGTTTGAGTAACGATGGGCCAACCACAAATAGGCACGTGCCCTGTATCATCTCTAATCTGTACACAGCCCTGCACTTGAGGTGTCTGACATGAAAGAGGGGCTTGGACCAAAGTCATATAGCTAAGTGGCTCTGTCAGAATGAAACCCAGCTTAGTATCCAAAATTTCTGCCCGTTCTACTAACCACGTGACATCTGGGCTCAAATCTGGTTTCTGTCCAAATCACATTCAATCTGGCACGTCCCCAAATCGCATCAGCTGCCTACTCTGGAAAGGGAACCCAAATGCCCTAGAATGATATCCAGTCTCTCAAACATACTAAAAATCAATTGATGACCACAATAACTGCCAAAATTAGAGAAGAATTCTCTCTCTATAGATGACATTGGCACCCCCAAAGACTCAAGCCAACTTTGACGCAGTGCTTGGTCTCTCTCTTCTCTGCTTCCTTCAGGGCCCATCTGGTTGGACAATATCTACTGCACCGGCAAGGAGGCCACCCTCGCGGCCTGCTCCTCCAATGGCTGGGGCGTCACCGACTGCAAGCACACCGAAGACGTGGGTGTGGTGTGCAGTGACAAAAGGATTCCTGGTTTCAAATTCGACAGTTCGTTGGTCAACCACATAGAGGCAAGTCCTGTGTTCTTGATGACTCCCACAATGAATATTTTCCTTCTTCCATGTAACTCAGTTCTCACCTACTGATTCCAGGAAGAGTGTGTGAATGCTAACGAGGGGACCCAAGTCAACCTGATTTGGGGCAGGGGGACTGAGGGGAGGATTTCTGGAGAAAGGGAGACCACCAGTGTGGAAAGGGCATTCATTCCAGACACAAAGAATGGCTTGGGTGAAGGCATAGAGACATGACGGGGTAAGTAGATCAGTACTGCCCAAGACTACAAGGTGAATGTGGGAGTAATGTGAAAGGAAGCTACAGAGGGTGGGCACGAAACCCCTCTGTGCTCTGCCCAGGAGCTTGCAGTTTGGGCTGGAAAAATGTACTAGTTATCAATTGCCATGTAACAAATTACCCCCCAAATTTTGCAGCTTCAGACAATAGCCTTCATGATCTCACTTAGTTTCTGAGGGTCAGGAGTCCAGGAGCAACTTAGCTGGTTGACTATGATCACGTTCTTTCACGAGGTCACCTGGGGCTGGGGGCCATGTCCCAAGCTGACTCATGCGGCTGTTGGTCAGCTTTAGTTCCTGGCCATCAGCTGGAGCCCTCTGGTCCTCTGCACACAAGCTCTCTCTAGCCTGCCTGAGTGTCCTTAAGACATGGCTGTCGTCCTTCTCCAGAGTGAGTGACTCGAGAGAGAAAGGGAGCAAAACATGGAGGCCACAGCCTTTCATAACCCAATCTTGGAAGCAATAGACCATCATTTCTGCTATATTCTGTTGGTCACATAGACCAACCATATACAGTGTGGGAGGAGATTACCCAAGGGTGTGAATGCAGAAGGTGGAGACCATCGGGGGCCATCCCGGAGGCTGGCTATCAAAGGACCATTGTTTCCAAATCTAGCTGGGGATCAGAATCACTTTTAAAACGCACATACTAGGGCCTCGCCCCAGACCTCCTGAATCAGAATTACCCCCAGGGGACCAGACTAGTTTTGAAAGTGCTCTCAGATGATTCTCATGTTGCCAGCCTGACCCAAGTCAGCATTTGGAAATGGCCAAAGGGCTTGTGACCCTTCTACATTTATGGCTACGTTTCAGAGTTAGATTTTCAATAAGTTCTCCACCCAAACAACAGAAAGGAACAAACATTTATGGCACTGCTTTACATACAAGATATGTGGGGCTTAGGGTAGCCGGAGTAGGCAGCCTCCTCAAGGACACGTTGGATGTCACCCCCAAGGCACTGTGAGATCTGCCATGAAGCCAAGCCAAAAGGCCTTCACTGTGCTTTAGCCCCCAGCTGACCTCAGAACCAGTGCTGAAGAAAGGCAACTTGAATTGCCCTATTTGGGCTCCAGAGGAAGATCTCCCCAGACTGTAGTCTTTACATTTTCCTCTCATGACTCACACTGTCCCACTCTTTTCTCATATGTTCCTAGAGCACACTGAGTATGCTGGGAACTTGTCCAAGCCTGCATTATAGCAGGGAAAAGGATTTCCAGCTTTCTCTCAGCTGGCGGGATCAGACTGCTTCTAGCTGACACTCTTCAAATGCTGCTGTTTTATCTGGGAGAAGTAGAAGAGATTGTCAAAGAGCTAATGTGCGTTAGTGTTCCAGTTATCGATGACAGCTTCGCTTTACAGTAAAGTCTGTGATTTGGAGGATGGGGTTGTCCAGCCCAGTCTCACACGTTCCATCTCTGCTCCTTATGACCTCATATGAGATCATTAGCACCCACTTTCTGATGAGATTGGAAGCTCCTGGGGGGTAGGGGTCTATCTAATGCACCATTGTATCCAGTAGAAATAGTGCTAGGTACCTGATAGGAACAGTGTCTCCAACCCCTAAATTTTCTTCTTAGGAATGCATACCACAGATCGTCATCCCCATAGGTGAAGAATCTCCCAGAATCAAATATCAAATTAAACAGTGATAAGAAGCACATAGAAGCAAATCATTCCTTTACAGCATTGCCCTGCTTAATAGAAAAGTGACCTTATTTGTAACATCTTTAATGGGCCTCTGTTCAGCCTAGAACCTCAGGATAATACAGTTGGATTGTCAAGTGAAGATCCAGGTTTCCAGGCATAAGAAAGTCATTGATGGTTTGAATAAAAAGAAGGTGGACCACCATGTCAGTGGGTTTTTGGGGATGGGAGAATGAAAAGACTTCATCCACCATTAGAAAAAATGATTCTGGGAAAAGGGCATGGCACTTTAACAGAAAAGTGTTTATTGAATCTGGCTCCTAGAAAAAGCAGACCCTTGATTGGGTAGAATAGGCAGAGAAATGACCCCCCCCCCAATATAGTAAGAAGTACATTTTTATTCTGGAAGTGCTAAGAGTCCACCATAAAAGCTGAGTACTGTCTTTATTCTGGACCTTTGTTGAGTGTCCGCTGTACACACAGTGTGGTCTGGGAAAGAAAACATGGCCCTCATAACCTGAGAAGATGAGATGCATGCCTTTGGAAAGCTTGACGATCACTCCAAGGCAAGGAGCCTAGACCCTAAATGAATTTACGGTAACCCAGCGAGGACTACTGGGGTGGGGTGGGGGTGAGTGGTTTGAAGGGTGGGATGACTCCCACCGCCTCCCATGCTTTGCAGCTTCCTAGAAGACCTCCCTCTTGCTGTCGTATAGTCAGGGTGGTGGCCATGAGCCACACTGGGAGTGTTCTTGTCCAGCCACAGACACAGGAAACTTTGAACTGATGAGGTCCCCTGGAACCTCTTCCCTTTGGTGTCAGCTGAATGTAGGTCATGAAAGGGCCCACATCTCAGGATGTCTGAGGAGAAACTTTGAGAGTTGCCACTCCATCTAGGACTTTGTGGCTAAAGCTCATGCTTACTGTCAGAGCTGGCCTGATGGGTGGGGAGCTGCCCAGACCACCTATAGGGATATTTGTGGGATGGTGAGAAGTTTCTCCGAAATACCTCATGTAATAGCCTGTGTCGGTAGCTGAAGTCATGGAATCGTTCCTCTTGGCTACAGAAATGTCCTCTATTAGATGTTTGTGGATGAGAGGAAGAGATGTAGGCTGGTGGACGTGCAGTTAGGTGGGGCCACAGTGCGATGACTAATGGTGCCCGGGAAGACTGCAGGTTAATCCGAGAACACAGCAGATGGTCTCGAACCGTAGTTCCTGGGGCCCAGCTCTGCCTCTCTAACAGCAGACGTTCACATGGGGATTAAAATGGGCCCTGATAAAAGTTGTAGGGGACACAAAACTAGAAGGGATTGCTGGACTATAACATTATTGAACAAGGTTCAGAAAAACCTCAGTAAGTGGAGATAATAGGCCCAAACCATAATATATTAGGGATGAATAGAAGGTCCTATATCAAGGTTCATGGGAAAAAAAAAAAAATCAGCCATAGAGTGAAAGCCAGGGAGAGTGACTGAAAAGCATTGATTATATCTTTAAAATCCCTGAAGGGGATTGGTTGACTAAAAGCTGTGTATAAGCCAAAGCTGTGATATGGTGGTAAAAAAAAGCAAAAACAAAAAAACCCCAAAACATGAATGTGCACTGATGCACTGATGGAAGAATTCTTCCCCTAAACTCTTTGTTTTTAGATCAAGAACTGAGCGCAGGGTTCTTAGCCTCAAGATCTGGGGCCATCTCTTAGCTAGGTCACCCAGAGGAGGGACCAGCAGGACAGAGACAGGTCTGGAAACCATATCCTATGAGGAAATGAAGATATGGGGACAAGAAGAGAGAGAGGAGGGGAGCCATGTGGGTTCTCTAAATATCTATAGTGTTACCATGGAGAAGATGTGTGATTTATTCTAACCCAGAACCAAGATGGGTAAGAAGGTAATGGGAGGAGATTTCAGCCCATTGTGGAAACTCTGTAACACTTAGGTCTGCCCCACAGTGCAAGCGGCAGTGTTCACAGCAAGCTCCCGTCACAAGAGTCATGCAAGCAGGAATGGGATGACCTCCTGCCAGGAATGTGCAGCCAGATTCCTACCCTGGGAAGGAAGCAGGATGAGGCGATTGCCAAGTTCCAAGATCCCTCCTTACTCTGCATTTACGAGAACACCCCCAGCCCACGCAGGGGGCACCCACAGCTGGCTGTTGGCAGTGCACCCCATTGTGTGAATCGGCATCTCTGTCTCATACGCGCACATGCGCGCACACGGGACACTGGTGTGTGTGCTGTGTACCCTGGCTCTCTCCCTGCCTCTTCTCTGGGCCCGCCCAACCTTAGCCTTGAAAGCAGGAGCAGACTTTTTGCCCTTATTCTTCCACATCCAAGTGTGAGCACTAAGGCCCTCCCTCGACATCCCCAATTTGGGGTCCATAAATTCCAAAGTGGCCAAGAGTGGAGTGTGATCAGAATGAGGTATCATGTAATGCTTTCTCTGTGGCTTATGACCCCAGGTGCAAATGAGTGGCCTAATGAATGTGATGAGGACACCTCCCCCACCGTCCCATCCCATCTCTTCCCACCCTACTCTGAAGAGTATGGCCAGGATCTCTCACATCCATCCTCATTGAATCCTGGAGATTGGGGGCAGGTCACAGACCATTTGAGGTGACCCTCATAGGCTTGTGCCTTCTCCGGAGCACACTGGAATTCCCCAAGCAGAGAGTGGAAGAAAACTGAGCATCGGTCTAGATCAAGTTCATCCCACTTTGGAATGCCAGAGGCATGAGTCACTAAACCCTGGGGCCTGGCTGATGAATTTCACTCAATGAGCTAACTGTGCTTCCAGTGGACTCCTCCATCTGCTTGGGGCATCCCCGGGGGCTCTTTGACGCGTCATGAATTCCGATCTAAAGAAGGGAAGCAGCACATCTCCTTCATATGAATGGCCCCACCAAGGGAGAGTTCACAGGTTTGGACCCTGAGCTACCTGTTGGCCAGCAGCCAGAACACTGGGCATGTCCATTCTCTTCATTAAGATGAGCTGGTTGAATTCTGTCCCTTCCAGCTAGGACAGTCGGGAAGCCAGAGTGGCAATGGTTTCTCCAACAAAATGACACAGCATGCA